TATACATATATTTAATATGAGTATATGTATTTGTTTGCTAGTGCTGATTGCTCTGAAGGCATATGTGCAAAATATTTGAGTATATTCTAAATACATTAATTATCGTTGTTATTCAGGTTGATTTACATTTTATTTTAGAATGATATGTTTACACTAGTGTCTGCATAGGATGTGCAAATTTGCTGTGCATTTTGCATGCCAGAGTTAAAATCAGTTGTTGATCCTTTTCTGGCCAGCGCGCCTTCTCGCCTGAGAATATATCGTATATCAGTTGGCATTGCCTACTTTTCGGGATGGCAAAGTACCATTAAACTGTCTTAAGCTTGCGCAAATGAGCCTCACTTGCTTTGGACACTGGCCATATTTATGGCAAACTACACATACAAAATATATATATATATATATATATATTATTTTGACCGCAGCTGTATGTGTGTGTATGGCATTTGTTGTGGGGCCAATACAAGTAACAATAAATTGCTAAGCCGCCTTACTCATTAAATATACATACATATCTACGGGCACACATAAATATATGTATATATATGTATGTATGTGTGCGTGTGTGAGTGTCTTTACATTTAATTCAATAACACAGCAGCAACTCGTTTCGCCACGCCCATTACGCCCACAAAAGGTGCTGCGATAGCAGAGCAGCGGAACGTACAATTCTTGTGTGTGCGCAGGACATGCCAGCAACAGGACCAAACACAATCATATCCTCAGCTGCAGCTGCAGCGTGCTTGCCTGCCTGCGTGTGCGTGTGTGTGTGTGCGTGTGTGTGTGTGTGTATGACATGGGTATGTTTGTCGCTTGGCTGTTGCAGTTGTTGCTGCTGCTGTCTGCCGTCTGTCGCCTGTCGCTTCATTTTCATGTTCCACACTTGACGCGTTCGAGCATGTCGAGGCATTCAATTTCTTATGTGCTCGCTTGTTGTCACATTTTCATGTGGTGTAATGTGCCCATGTCTCTCTCTCTCTCTCTCTCTCTCTCTCTCTCTCTCTTTCTTTCTCTCTCTCTCTCTTCCTCTGTTTCGCTCCCTGTCTACGACACCTTCGTGGCACATTCTTTGTCAATAATCTCATTTTGGTGTGCTTTTCCAGCGCCACACCCAAATAGGCGTAATATGGCAACACTTTACGGCAGAGCCTTTTCTTCTCCGGCTTAATGGGAATGTCACAGAATTGTCAGCAAGGACTACATTTAATTACAACCGGTTCACACGAAACGGGCTGTATCGTAAAGCTCTGCTGGGCACCGCATTTTTACTGATTAATATTGAGAACCGCAATCCGAATTGGTATCGAAAAAATTTATACAAAATGTATTTAAAACCAAAATGCCAAAATATCATGCTCGATCCCTTTACTCAGGTGCATGTTTGAGAATGTTTTTGTGTTCAAGCTTTGTCTATGAAAACTTATGTTCAATTTTTTTGGAAAAATATAGGAATTTATATACCTTTTGTATACTTCAACTACTTCAAGTAGTGAATTTAACTCTTGGTTAAAATTTCGACTAAAATCGATGAGAAAATTATAATTCGGTTCTCCAGGTTCACGAAAATATATGTATATTCTATATATGAGGACACAATGTATGTCAATTATACAGAGTACCACATCGTCAAGCACTCTCAACTAAAGAATACTTATCGGTTATATTTGCCCGCCTCAAGTACAAACAAGTACTTCATTTGCAGGCAACTTTTTAATATGATAAGAATTTATTATAAATATATATATATATATATATATATATAAATATATATATGCATCATATGCGTATTGAATTGAGGGCACGGCAGCAAACTACATTTAATGCAATTATCGTCAACATCAAAGTGATAAAGTGCGCTGCATGTCGTGGCCAATGTGAGAGGCAGTCAACTGGCTTAGTTTGTCTTGAAACTGGGTCTGGGAAGGAACGCTGGCAATTAGGAAGCACTGTTAACTTGCACCATGCGGTAACTTGCACCTGTTAGGCACTTTAGGGCGTAGTTCCAATTAATTAGCAGTTGGCCGGATACAACTGGACCCCAAATGATGCTTTGCCCAACGTTTGTCACGCCCACACACACCATCAGGGCCTTTATCAGTAGCTGTGTAAAATTTCATAAATTTTAATCGCCCGACCAAATGAAGAAGAAAAATCGGCCACTGTAAAGCCAAACAGAAAGTTGAATCGTTAAAAGGCAAAAAACAACCAAAAAAAAAAGGGAGAACAAATTTGTTTTTGTATTCGAAAGTTTCGCAAAAAGCATTAAAATTTAAAAACAAAAGAAATAATAGAATGGGAGTGAAAGAAAAAATAAATTACGACTACCGCTAGCTACGGTGAAAAATATTGTAAATATTTTCCAGCAACATCACGCGTAGTACCACCTTGCCTCCCCCACTGCTGCTGCTCCCTGTTAATAATTTGTTTTGTTTCTACCTTGTGGTTGAGGCATATACATACAGACATACATAAACATATATATATATATATATATTTATTTAAATATATATATTTTTTTTATTTTTTGTGCTGTGCCGAAAAATGTTAATAATTGGCATTTCTGTGCGAGATGCTGTAACGGATGTATGGATGGTGGGTGGAGGTCTGGACGCGAATGGTGGGTGTGTTTTTTGTTTTCTTTTTTTTTTTTTGGGTGGGTGGCATTTCATAAATTGTTTCGGAAATTACAGTTGTACTGATGGGCAGCTCCCGTGCCCGACCATTGACCGACTTTTGGACCTCGGAATTGATTACAGTTCATTTCACTTTTGGGTCCTGTTACGCATTTCACCACCCGCACCCTATGCCCCCTCCTCCACGCAGTCCATCTTTTTTTTTTCATCCATAGCTGAGCATTGACGTGAAGCGTTGATTTTCATTTCAATCTTACTTTTTTTTTCAGTATGATTTCACCGATTGCGTTTCAATTCAATGTTTGCTTTTGTGTGATAATATTAATATTAATATTATTATTATTTCTTTTGTAATTTCTCACAACAATTTTGCATTTGCATTTTAACGCTTGAGTCAAGCATATTTTCAGCACTTTGATTTTGTTGAGTCATTCAAGTTGGGACCGTGAAAATCAATAAAAAGCACATCAATTACATTTATTTCTTAACCCATTGAAAAGTGGGTAAACATTTTTAATAATAAGCTTGACATTCATCCAATGATTTAAATTATTACCGTTTAAATGTAAAATGGCGCATTCTTTCAATTCAATTAATTCAATTCAAATAAATTGTTTTTGTGTTCTTTCAGTGGAATATAACGAATTATTTATATATATATTTTATTATACATATATATTGTAGAATATATACTTAATTAGTAGTTACATTAAATTTGCATATTTTATAGATATTCAGTTAGATTTTTAATTTGTTTAAAAATATACTTTTAATAATCAGGAAGTTGAATCTTTAACTTTATAGAGAGATCTCCTCTAAGAGCTGCTCTATATGATTTTCAACAGTGCTTTCAAGTTGATATTGGTGCATCATTGACGGATGATTAATATTATGTCAAATACACATAAATGCATCCTTAAAATTGCTAGAATCGGATTAATTTAGTGATAAAATGTATATGACATGAATATGCCCAATTTGAAGTCTTATGTTATTATAGTATCTCTGATCAGCTCATATATATTTATTCTGACATGCTTCCTTCAGTATGTTTCCTAAGTTTTGTACAACTTTATAATACCCTTTCTATCCATTTTCAATTGGTACGGGATACGATTGAAACGATACCCCTCAAAATAAGAGCATCAGAACAAATGCAATTAGCTATTTTTGTGTGAATTTCATATCATTTCGAGTCAAAAATGTAGAAAATTGGAATTAACAAGGGACTCGTTTATGCGTGTGTGTGTGTGTGTGTGAGTGTGTGTGTGTGAGTGTGTGTGTGAGTGTGAGTGTGTGTTGTGAACATGCTATAAATATAGAAAACAAATACTCGACTACATTTACATATGCCTAATGATATATGTATATGTGCAAACGACTTGCTGTAGCAACCAAAACGCAGTTTCAATCAGCAGCCGCACGCTCCACCAGCCGCATCAGCCGCACCACGCGCACCACCCGCAACACCCGCACCACCCCCACCGACCGCTCCAACCGCAGCAACCGCGCCACCAACTCAGCATCCTGAGCAGGGCCCCCGAAGCCAAATTGTGTAATGGGTTTTGCGTATTATGCGCATTTAATTGGAGTTTTTGTTGCTGGATTTGTTTTCGCGTGTTTTGTGCTTCATGTGTTTGTGTACTCGACAAATGCGCGTTAAATTGAATAAGCTGCAATAATTGCATAAGTTTGATTAGTTGGATAAGTGGTTTTTATTAGCCTAAAAATGTACGCACCATCAAGCAATTAACCGGGCCACCAACGTGTTTCGGTTGGCAAATACCCGATAGACACTTAAAACTTGCAAATTTATGTAAAGAATTAATAAGTACATCAATTAACTAGTTTGCTTTTCAATCTCATAAGTAAGCCCCACAAACGATCTCAATTTAACTGTATAAGTTAGCTCATTTAATTGAAAAGCCAAATATCTTTTGCTAATTTGAATTCATTTTTTATATTTTAAATATTATATTTGCGCACAATATTGAGCGACTTGCTGTAGTGCTTCACATCTGATGACTATGCCCCAAATCATTTTCAATCACATGATAAAGGCAACCCTTGAAACCCGCACCTTTTAAACTAATTTGCGTCTGATTATTTGGTCAACGCGCTTGATGTCGATGTCGATGTCGATGTCGATGACGATGACGATGATAATGAATATAGAACGATATGATGGAGGCACTCTGAATTGAAAGCATAAAAAAACACAAGCACACACATACGTACATTTGTATATACATACATACATACATACATACGAAAAGAGGAATCTGACAATGGACTAGTTTAGGCGGAGAGGGGTTTGGGGTGGGTGGGTTCTGATTGCTGGTGGGTGCTTGTATTTTTAGTGGCTTCTAATGAAGTTACCAGGAGCGGCAGCAGGCAGCAGGCAGCGGGCAGCGATCCCTCCCGGGCTGAAAAAGACGAATGCTGTAAGTGGGTTTGCTTTGTGGGTGGGGAAGGGGAAGTGGTGGAGGTGGGAGTGGGTTTAGCTGTGGTGGTTGCGCCGAGCAGCAGCATCAGTTGTCTAGGACCCTCATTTATTTTCACTTTAATCAAAGCGAATGGCAGGGACAGCAGACAAGAGGCCGGAGCGGGAGGCAGTAGGCAGGAGGCTGCAGGCACCGTTGGTGGTGCAGGACGCAGGCTGGTCCAACGTTTGCTGAACAAATTTTTGCTACCATGCCCAAAAAGAATTGTAAAGCGTAAAATAACAAAGACAAGGAAGAGCAAAAGTAAAAGCAGCAGCAGCGAGGCCAAAAGTGTATTGGTAGTTGTAATTTTACACGTTATCCCTTCTGCCTGTGTACGTGTGTGTGTGTGTGTGTGTGTGTGTGTGTGTGCAGGAGTGGCAAGGAACGAGGCTAAACAAAAGCAACACAGCACAGGCCCAGGCCTGAGCAGAGCAGTAGAGATTTTCCAGGCAGCCAAATGAAAAAGTAAGCTAATTAGTTAATGAAAGATATTTTCCTTTGTCTACTCTCGGTACACACTTCACCTAACCCTCCCCTCTCCGCACCCGGTTTCAAAACAGGGCGTTTGCGGCCCACACTGAGCGAAAATTACTCAAAATGGCAGTTGTGGCGATCTGCTGCCTGAATATGTTTTGTGGTTCATAACTTGACTAAGCCCTTACAACCATCTCTCTTGTTCGCTCTCTCTCCGTCTCTCCCTCTCTCTCTCTCTCTCTTCCTCTTCCTCTCTATCTTGAGGCATTGCCTAGCTTAAGTTTGTCGCCACAAATGAGCTCAGTGTATGTCGCAATGCTTAATTTTATGCATAAGGCTCAGCTATCGCATGTTCATTGTCCGGCAATTTTGACCTTTTTTTTCTGGTTTTTTTTTCACTCTTCCCACAATTTCGAAGGCATCGCTGCGAACAGCTCTACTCCCCAAGCAGCCCCCTGTTTATGGCTGCCACGTCAATCGTGTTAGCCTTTGTTTGGCAATTCTGCCGTTCGCTGTTCATTTTCTGCTACTTTCTTTGTGCCAACAGTAGCGGCAGCAATGCTGCTGCATAATTCCGGAACTTCTTTCCACTCGCTGCTCTCTCTCTCTCTCTCTCTCTCTCTCTCTCTCTCTCTCTCTCTTTCTCTCTATGTCTCTACAGTCCAAATCTACCCCTAACCCACTCGCAGGCTCACTCCTCTGCTCCTGCTGCTGCTGCTGCTGCTCACTTGCGTGGTCTGCACCCCTTTTGTATTGCAAAATGTTTTGCTTGAATAAATTATAAGCTTAACTGGCACCGAGACTCCCCGTCTTCAATCCATATACCGTCGCTGTTTATTCCCTATTTTCAAAGTGGCACTGCTCCAATAAATTATTGAATATATGTATATTTTATATTGCATTTATCCTTTATCTAGCTTCTTTTTTTCTAATCATCCATGAGGGAATTACCTTTTTCTTGCAGCATTCTGAGTCCTTGTTGCATGCCACGCTACAATAGCAGTCAACATATGCACTCCACATTCCTCTGTTAGATTAGAATCCCATTCCTTAATTAGTTATTCTCGCTTCATTAGTTGGCAAAACGAATCGATTTAAGTCCATAGTAGAATGTCAAAGTCAAATATACACTGATAAAAGTTATTGTCAAGTCGGAGAATATTTTCTTTGTTCTATCTATTTCCATACATATTTATTACCACGCAATATTACTTAATGTTCACATTAATTTGATGAAAAATCGTTATTTTTTTTCATTTAGGATTGTTTTTTTTATCTGCTACTATTCTATAATTCTTACGTTTCAGCTGAGTTTCCATCCATTTCATTCCTGGCTTATTCGCTGTATTTCAAGCGATCGATTTTTGGCGTGGTTTAAGGAGCGATAGCGCATTGACCAAGTCGAGGCAGTGCGAGGGAGAGAGCAATCTTTATTGTCTTTTACTTTTTTTTTGGTGTCATTGATATGTGCTTATTTTTATTAAATTGATTATAAGGCTTATGCTTTAAAATCGTGGCAAAAAGTGGCACAGAAAATTGAGCGTGCAATTTGATTTTTCCTTTCAAGAATTCTCCAACAGACAATGGCTCAAACAGCAGCATATATAATCTATATATATATAAATATATATATATATATATAAATATATATATATATATATGTATAAATATATATATATATGTATAAAAGGGCTAAGGATAAATGGGGCGTAGCAGACAACAACAGCCAGAGCTCATATGGGCAAATATGTGTACACGCTTAAATATAATATATATACATTATATATATATATATATATAAATATATATAGAAGCGATATGGACGCGACGCGAATGCTGCCGACGACGACACTTCTGGTTCATTGAAGCATAAGAAATTCTCGAATGAATCGCTCCGTTGACGCTTGAGTAGACTTGAAGCGATAAGCGCTTTTTGCCCCATATACAAAAATATATATTTTGTTCTAGTCGCGCATCCGTTTACACTGCACACACACACACACATACACACAACGTGTGCACAGTGTTAGCTAAATGCAAAAAAGAATATATCAAAAAAAAAATATATACACCAAAAAAAAAAAATGGGCAAAGACGAAGGGGCGAGTGTCCGTCCGTCCACCCCGTCCGTCCGACCGGTGGGCTCGTCCGGGAGTTGAACCCGGGACCTCTCGCACCCGAAGCGAGAATCATACCCCTAGACCAACGAGCCGTTCTGGACGCACTTCGCTGATTGAGGCATTTCAATATAGAACCAAACAGAGAAGGCGTGAGAGAGAGAGAGAGAGAGAGAGAGAGAGAGAGACAGAGAGAGAGAAAGTCTGAGAGAGAGCGAGAAAGAGAGAGAGAGATATAGCGAATGTCAGATCGTTTTTGCAATAGTTTTTGCGTATGCGCAACGCATCTGTTATACAATTTATCTATGGTCTGGCGTATTACTCATACGCACCGTTTGCCCGCTTGAAAGTTAACGCATAAATATCAATTGTTCGCACGTTTGACGCCCGGGGGGAGACGACGACTCATACAAATGGAAATAACCAAACGTCATGCTGACTCACGTTGCCCACATGACGAACAACAACAACAAGAACAGCAGCAGCAACAACAATACACACACAACACAGAACACACAATAAAATGTTTGGCCCTATGTCAAAAAAGTGGACAACCGCATTCAGCGTCGATACGTGGCCCTGTTCAAGGTGTCACTCCCGTGGCGCTGCTATTGCCCACTAAACCTCACGCACAAACCTCCCCCCAACTAGCTCAAGCTGCCCCCAACCCGCGGACTTGTGTTTATTGACAGTTGTCAGGTATTTTTTGAGAAGGGCGCTTAAACTTTGCCATTCATTACCTTTTGAGTCATTGCTTTATTGCTGATGATACTCGCACTTGGCGTTAGCTGCAAACACACGTACAAACACACACACACACACACACACACACACACACACACATACACGTGTGTCATAGGAATGTGCTAGAGGACATTGAGTTAACCGAAAGCAAAGCAGCAGCAGCATCCAATGCCATAAAATTTATCAAGCGACAGCTGTTGCACACACACACACAGAGATACACACATACACACACACACACACACAAGCGAATGGGGGCGGAATACTCGAATGTGCCTGTGGGCATTATGTGTCCCAGTTGCATGCAACGCAGCGCTAACTAAATCGGAAACCAATTTGCTTTTCGCAGCTAACCGCTCAGCCATGTGTGTGTGTGTGTGTGTGTGTGTGTGTGTGTGTGGCAACTCAATGGGAATTGCTAAGCTATAAGCGTGCGATGACGTCACACGTCATCATAAATAAATATCGAAATACGACGCAATGCAGCAAAATGAGACCAAAAATATTACAAATTAATTGCTAACAAATGCCAAAGGGCCAAGGCAATGGAACTTATTCGTGGCAATATTACCTGCAACTTTGCAGCTTTGCAACTTTGGGCCACGGCCACACTGAAGGCACACCGAAAAGCATATTTTTGTGTTATTTTCTTTTTTTCTTTGTTGCTTCAGTGTTACTTTGCCTTTTGCTGACACCAAAAGTTTTCTCAATTGTTTGGCTATATTTTGTGGTGGCCGCTCTTGTTTCTAGTTGCCTGTGCAGGTGTGTGTGTGTGTTGTATGTGTGTGTGAGTTGTGTGTGTTGTGTGTTGTGTGTGTGTGTGTTGTGTATGGATGTGTGCGTGTGCTTAGTGCTAATTCGCGTGCCTTGGTGTCGCCAATAATTATACTTGCTGATTTATTGAGTGTCGTGGCTATTGTGCCGAGGCAGTAGCGGAAGTCCTGCTCCAAAAATTCAATATCCTTGTCGCCACGCATCTACTGGATATTGTGAATGAGTCGCCATTGTGATTGCAGCAAGGGATGGAGATTCAAATTTGTTTGCTTTGAATTTGTGTATAGAATATTAGACTTGATAGGATATATTTTCTATACATCAAATAATTGTATATACGAGTATATAATAGTATAATGTTATAACATTAAATCTCAAATTTATTCTTGATTTTCCCAATTTACGCTTTTTATATCTGCAAAAAATAGAGTTAAATACTTTTGGCTAAATGCTAATGCCACTTTGTGCATTGCACTCAGACAGGTCTTGAGTATATCAAATATATTTATGGGATTTGGCAGTTGCCAAGGACGAACCTGAGGGCGAAGCCAAAGCAGTTCCATCATAATGCCATTAGTGTGCCTATAATGCTGATTAGTATGACAGAGACAAAGCAATCTCAGGCAACAGCAACAACAACAAACAAGTCCAAAATTATGTGGTCGCATGCCATTTAGCCTTTTTGTGGTTCTTCAATGGAATAGGATACGGATGGTCGGTTACGGATGGTGTGCCAGCGACAGGAAATGACACCCTCACCCCCTCTCACCACCTCTCACCACACACTCTAAGTCTCAGTCTCAGTCTCAGTCTCACTGTCAGCTGCTTAGCCAAAGCTGAGGTTGATTGCCGCCTTTAAGTAGTGGCACCTCTTCACCCACAAACGGATGGAGGGACTGGACAGGGATTGTATGGATTGCGTGCGGTCCTCGCATATTCAAAATCATCGCTCAAGCGAAAGTGAAATTAATTACACGACTTGAGTTCTGTTCGGTTCTGTTCTGTTCTGTTCTGTTCAGTCCAGTTCAGCTCAGTGCCAAGTTGAATTGTGCTGAGTCCTCGGCATTGTCGGTTCTTATTGCCACTTGCTGGCGTAATTAATGAAAAGGGCAACCAAATCGCGAGAGCACACACACACACAAACACACACACACACTATGATTGGGGGTCTTTTTCTTGGTGTATTTAAGATTTTCGCCTGGTTTTTCCCATTGTGCAACTATTCGTGCTTTTCTCAGTTTCTTTTGCGTCTTGCTTGAGCCAAAATTTCATTAGAGCCAACAATTTGCTCATTTCTTTATTTTGGGTCTGGCAGCTGGCACGAATTTTGAGTGGCACGTATCTGTGGTAAAGGCAACGGTATCCACTATCTTGTCTCATCTGCATCTGAGCCACAACGAGCCCCAACTGTTATACATATAGATATACATATACAAATACATATACATAGCACGCGCATCACTACACGTTTACGATCACATTAAGTGCGTATTTGACAAGATATTCTGACACTTGGATGTTGTGGAATTAACTACAGCCTCGATGCCATCTTGAGTCTAACTTGAGTCTATACCAAAGGAGTCTTTTCTTAAAGTAAGCAAAATTATTTGCTTTACTACTAGTTGTATATTTTCTAGTATTCATTTTGGCTAATTTATATTTACGCCATACAACTTGATTTACATTATCTTCAGCTTCTTCAGCTGATTTCACATGTTGTCAAATCAGAAAAATTCAAAAAATGCACACTCATCTTCGCAAATTATTTGAATTTTCTTCTTTTTTTTTTGTGGAGCCACGCCTAATCAATATAGAAAATATAAACTTATTGGTAATATTCAGAGGCAAATATTTTACTTTCCAAATAAATTAGCATAAAGATGAATCTAAACCAGGAAAAATGAGAAGAAAAAATGGAAATTAATGTTCGATTAGCAAAATTGAGTTTATCTGCTAATTTCAAGTTTTTACTCAAGTCCTCCTAAGCCAGAGGACAATTAAATGACAGGATGCGACAAATCGACTTAATTCGGGTGAATAAAGCTAATTTGTCAAACGTTTTAAATGCTTCGAACATCGATATGAGGCAATGTCACACTCGAAAGGTGGCCAATTTGAATTGCCTCATTTGGTTTTAGAGTGGTGAGATTCGATCAGAAAACTTTACTTGAGTGGACTTTGGCTTGGAACTTGGAACTTGGAACTGAACCGATTAAGCTGAGCCAAGGCGCATTCGTTTCACATTTCTCGAAGGTGCTCAGTCGATGCTTGCTCTGATTAGAACACAACGAGCCATCTCTTAATTATGGGCCAATGACCAAGAGGGCTTTAATCAGCGCCAATTGGCAAATACAAAAGCGAAAATTGCAAAGTGTCTACACCAGCAGCAGGAATGGAACAGTGGCAGGAGAAGGACCAGGAGAAGGAGCAGGAGAAGGAGAAGGAGACGGAGCAGAAGCAGTAGAAGCAGTTCAAGCAGGACAGAGCAAGCAAATAGACGATAGCAGACTCTCATTCTCAAACTGAGGGGAAAGTTGGATGGTTGGGTTGATTGGTGGATGGCTTGGTGGTTGGGTGGTTGGGTGGTAGTCAGCTGGTAAGGCGACACACCAAAACCTTTTGCTAACTTAATTAAATTATAACATTTTCGCTGGCGCTTTTTGTAGAATAATTGGCAATAAATTGATTAAAGAGTTAATTAAATGTGCGGGGGGCCGCCAAAGTACATAGATGGATAGATAATTGCATTGGCGCAAAGGGCACCATAATTTGGGGCAACTGTGTGTGCGTATGTGTGTGTGTGTGTGTGTGTGTGTGTGTGTGTGTGTGTGTGCTGCGATTTAAGTGCAATTTCAATCACACTTTTGCAGAGCGCCTCCAGCTGTGTGCCCTGCACTTGATATTTACGCTTTTACAACAACTTATTTGCAGTTGGCAAAAATGATTTAAAATTTAATAATGATTTAAATTTAAGCAGACAGAAAAATAAAACCAGAATTCTTATACAGCTGGACGGTAAAATACTTGGGAATTTTCATAATATTTAAATATCAAGATATTAATTTGTAGGTATACTGAAATTGTTTCTTAGTGAAAATCAGAAGTGGCTTAAGAAGTCAAAGAGACTTTCGGTAAAAGTCCATATTGAGCAGGACAGTGATCAACTAATATCAATATTAACCTCTTAGGTAAAGATTTTCCTTTCAAAATTTGCATAGCCACATCAGTTGGACGGTCTCAAAACTTCTTTACAAATGCTCTTAAGTCAGAAAAAAAAAAAAAAAAACATTGAAAGACATTGAAAACATATGGTGTTATTATGTAAAAGTAATCATAATCGTCATGCACATAATACGTTTGTGAAAACATTTCTTATTTATTATTTACCTTAATTTAATTAATTTATTTTTTTCAGTTATTATAATTTAGTTGAAGATAGCCATTGTCGGCTTGAACAAGCCATTTTAACTTGCATACATGTTTGTTACATTTGAGATGCAAATACAGACGGAGTACAACCAGTTGTGGTTCTTTTTGCATTCTCTCTACTTGCAGTCGGTGGCAGCATGCAGCGAGGACGTTGCCTTGGCGCACAGCGTGCAAAGTGCACCACGCTCCCCGCTCAGCCCCACTAGAGGGAGTGTGTGTGCGCGTGTGTGTTGGTCAGGCAAAGGCATGATGGTTGCAGCAGCCATTGGTCCCGTAGCAACATCGACGGGAGCAACAATTGCTAAGGCCACAAGAACAACAACAACAACGGCAACAGCGCTGGCCAGCAAGTTGCTCGGCCATTTTCATAACCGCACCACCCACGCAAATGTGGAGAGAATAACAGCGGTGCATGAAGAGGCTGTAGCAGCAGCATCAGCAGGCGGATCGGGTTCGGGAACGGGCACGGCATCAGCTGTATCGGATGGAGGGGGGAATGGAGATAGTAGCGAGAGTGTGGGCATCGCCAGCTCCTCGACACCCACCAGCTACTTGTCCCTGTATGAGGATGAGACGCAAGCGGCGGCGGCGGCGGCGGCGGCGGAGGAGGCTGGCTATGCGTTAATTGATGACATCAGCGAATGGCTGCTGAGCGCCGCCGGTGGCAATAATCTCAGCCTGAGCAGCAGCAGCAGTAGCAGCGAGACAACCCCATCCGCTGCAATCGGCCGCATGGTCAGCACCGGTTTCATTAGCCCCAATGAAACGGTCAGCTGGCTGACGCTGGACATCGCTGAGACATTGCAGAACAGCACACTGGCTAGCAGTGGCAATGGAAGTGGCAACAGCAGCAACAGTGGCGCCACCAACAGCAGCATCACCAATGATCTCGATGCGGACCCCGATGCTGATGGTGGTGGACTCTACGCGTTGCGCAACTTTGTCGAACAGCAATTGAACGGCGAATCGGGTCAGGATATTGCGCAGGATATTGCGCTCATCGATAGCGCGGAGGAGAGTGCGCTGGAGAGTGTGGCCGATGGGGATGCCGATTATGGCATTCTCGGTGGCTTCAGCGGTGCCAGCTTGGATATTGCTGATATGGATGTGGCTAGCAATGATCTCTTGCAACGCACGGCGACGACGATAACAAATCGAACGACCACCAGTGCCACGGAGGATGCCCTTTGGTTGAGTGGTGCTGCCGCCGGTAGTGCGAGTGCAACAGCTGGTACGGGTGCGGGTGCTGGTGCGGGTGCTGGTGCTGGTGCTGGTGGCAGCTCCTTCATGCTGCTGCTTGAGAACTTTAACGATTATTTTCCCAATTATAATGGCAGCAGTGTGACGGGAACCACAATCAGCACCACAACAGTCACCACGAGCAACGTTCTACTCGATCAGAACCTGACGAACCTCTACTTTGAGAACTATCGAACCAATTGCACGAATGCAACGCTGAATCTAACAACGGAATCCTGTCACGAGCTCCGAATCGGTGAGTAACTGCACATTAACAAGTCAAATTTACCAATTTTCCCATTTCCCCATTTCAATGTTCAGGGACGTAAACATTATTGTTATAATGAGTATTAGGATTTAATTTAATTATATTCTTAATCAGTGTCCGATATTGAATTGTTCATCTGCACAGTATCTTGTATAACAGTATAACATAGAGTGATCAATTCACGTTCTTTCTTGGAATAGAACCAGAGAGAGAAACGAGTAGACGCGATAAGTCGATCAATCAGTCGAATGATAAGTTTCAAGTTGTGGAATCGATTGGTAGAGTTCAAGACATGATATATATTTTATTTTTTTGGGTATGTTTTCAGATTTAAATGCAGTTTTAGTCTAGAGATCAAACCATGACTAAAACGTCAACAAAAGTTGAATATTCCACGTTTAAAGTTATGGATAAAATTAGCTTAAGTCGTACAAAAGCATAATAATATTTCAAACTCGGGATTAAAATTTAGATGTCCGCAAATAAACTCCGATCAAATAGTTCTTACTTACTTTATTTCTGACTTAGGTTGGCCTAGTTAAATCTGTTAACTTTGCAGACAGAACTTTTTGTTTACAAAATTGAACTGTTGCATACAAATATCTAAGATCTATATAACTCGTGTGATTCGTATTTTCTTCTATTTGCAGTTGATCATAATTATTGGGCGCTCATCTTGATACTGTTCCCAATCCTAACGCTATTCGGCAACATTCTGGTTATCCTGTCCGTGTGTCGCGAGCGTTCGCTGCAAACGGTTACGAATTATTTTATAGTGTCATTAGCCATAGCCGATCTGCTGGTCGCCGTAGTCGTAATGCCGTTTGCTGTTTATTTTCTGGTAAGTCTCTTAGCTTGCTTGCACCCACTAAGATATATGGCCAGCTAAGCTGCCCCTGCACCTGGCTCTGCTACTGGTTCCATTTGGCCCGGCCACGGTGTCAAAATCAAAATGCCAAATGCAAAATTGCCGGCCATTTGCGTTTAATTTTATCAAGTGTCTGGGGGCCATCTAATAAATAAACATGCACATAAATAACAGCAAGCCGAGTGCTTAAGGACTTTGGGTAGAGGGGCTTTAGTGGGTGTTGGTTATGGCAAGGCTTTTTAGTAAATTGCGGCCATTCAAGCAATAACATTCAATTTTTGGCGGCCCAATCTTATAAATCAATGTGTGCATGTATGCGTACGGAAATAAGGGGGAAAAATGGTAAATGGCAATGGCAAATCAGCAAATCGAATAAGACAGTGTGACAGAGAGAAAGTGAGAGTAAGAGAGAGAGAGAATGCGAGAGAGAGAAAGAGAGAGAGAGACCGAGAGCCAGGGAGAGAGAGAAATGCTATCTTTGCTGTCTGTGCTCACTTCCTTTGACTAAAGTCGCTGTAGCTGTCATTCCAAATGATTGATTGTGAGATTGAATGACTGACAACCTTCCCAGCCCATTTTTGTCTGTCTCTCTCTCACACTCTCTATATATCTATCTCTCTCTCTCTCTATATCCAAGCTTTAAATTGTACGTCTGAATCTGAGTTTTGCAGACAGTTCAGTTGAAGAAGAAAGATTAATAGAGAGAGTGTTTTCTCAATTTCCCTATTCAACTTTTGGTAGAATTCACACTAAATCGATTGCAACTTTGACTGCTGCATTAAAGTTATTTTATGCGTGCCAAAAAAATAAATAAATAAAGCATCACAAACTCTTGAATAAAGCAGCAGAAGGTGCCTTAAATAAATATGTAAAAATATGGTTATCCAAATGGTTTAACTTAACTGGTGAAATTTGAGTCAAAAAGCAGTTGTCAACACTGATAGGATGATGTGGCACAACATGTGCCCATGAATATGTCAGTAAACTGTTTGTCAAGACATGTCAGTTATTTCAATATTTATGCACTTTGCAAAACTGAATGCATAATTGTTGGCAGTTTTGTGACAGTTGCCAAGCTCAACGTTTGTCACGTTGTCAACAATTAATAGCGTGTTTATTTTATTCACAGTGCTGCGTGTAGTTGTGTAAATAAAACAGATAGCATATGCAAAATGTTAAATAAAAATCGGAAATTGCAATTGCAATTGCAATGGCAGATGTAAAAGCGACATTTGTTACGGGCGTGAAAAGCTGACTAGCGCCCAACATAATTAAAATGTTCGCAACTCAAATGAAATGGCAACTAAAGCCATCCGCAAAACTGACAGCAACACCTTGCACAAGAGGACGACGGGGGGACAAAATAATAAGAATTATATCGAACACTGTTGCATGTGGGCAACTAGAAATAAGTTAAAAAAGAAGAGCTTCAAATGAGTCCCTACAAAATATTATCAAGCAGAATGCGAATAATATTAACTGGAGATGGGACTAGAAATGATCACTAAAATATATTAGCATATTTGCCATCAGCAATTGGACTGAGAGAAGAAAAGCCAAGTGAGAGAGAGAGAGAGAGGGAAAGAGAGAGGGAGAGAGAGAGAGGGAAAGAGAGAGAGAGAGAGATACAGAGACAGAGACAGAAAGGGACATGGAGGTTGGGAGAAGGGAGGAAATAGAGGAGTGAACAATTAGTGTATTATAAATAAATATTGTGTGAGGGAGAGGGAAAAAGATGCTCAATCTTTAGAGAGCAATAATGAGAGAGACAGAAAAAGAGAGAGAAAGCTAATGATACACAATTATAAAGGGAGAGAGAGAAGGAGAACGACAGAGAACACACTCCTGGATGTAAACAGTTTAAATTGCTTGCTCCAAGCATATGCCAGTTGTTATTGACTAGCCACTAATATTTAAGGACACGCCCATACACCTGCACACACACACTCATACACACACTCATACACACTGGAACCCACATTTCAGTTAACGGTTAGACAGCTCATTTAATTTCAATTTCATCATTAAATTGACACTCGCTGCCCACCGCTGCCTGTCAACGGCTGACTGCCTGCTTTGTATGTTGATTTTCTAATGCCAAAAGGGACACAACACACACACACAGACACACACATAGGCGCACACAAAAAGCTACGTAGGCACGAACAGGGGCAAATTAACTTGTCATTAAATGCGCTTTGCCTTCTAATCGGACTTTGCACTTGCCTCTGTGCATGTGTCAGGTGCTAATTAAGCTGGCAGACAAGCAGAGAAACAGACAAACAGACGGACGGACCGAGTCATGTCAGCAGCAGCAGGGCATTGTATCAATTATAAGGTTCAACAACAACAAGAAGTGCCAAAAACATCGTGAGAGAACATTCACAGACTAAATTCGGTGAACATTCAAAGAACATTGCCAACACCGCCACCAGGCATCGTTGCCAAAGTGTTACAGCAACTGCGACGTGCTGAACACGTCAACACAGCAACACACACATACATATAATTGGGTTGAATAGCCAAGGGTAGGGACTACTGACATATATATAAATATATATATATAAATATATGTATTTACAGTTAATGTAAGCTTCAAGTGATATCGCTCCATATAATGGCATCATTTAATATTTAATGGTAATTCATAGATATAGTTAAATACCACATTTAGATTGTTATTCAAGAAACAAGAAATATATATATATACATATACAAAATGTATATATATATATAGTAGTATTGCTTCTCAAAACACTTAATGAAAATACGACTAACCTTGTGCTGATAATATCCAGACCTCTTTGTAATAATAATATAATTTAAAATGATGGCAAATTTCAGTTTTGAGAATCAAAAAATGGTTGGTTTCTCATCTGGGAATGTTTTAAAATACAATTATTTGCCAAATACTACACGTAGTAAATTATAACAACCCATCATAAAAATATTATTTAGGCGCAGAGAAAACTTCACTCGTAATCCACTACTAATATAATCATAAATTCAAATAAAAATTGAATACAAATAAATGGAAATATAATAAACTACGCACTTTAATCTGTTTGTTATTAAATTTTATAGCTAAACCAACTTTGAAAGTTAACTTAGTATTCAGTATTGATTGCTTATGTTTAAATAATATTCGCATAATTCTTTTATTTCTTAACATGTTTCAAAACATATGTGTTCACTACTTTAATATTGACCGCAGCTGTATAAACCTACAGTACTAGATTTAAATTATTAAATGCATTGTTCTGTTAGATTTCTTCGTGTGTATCTCATAGAGAGAAATCTGAGCATAGCTATAATTATAATGGAATGTATCTGATCACGTGTTCTAGAAGCGAACGCCATAACTAAAATATAGCGCACACAATTGCTTATCATGCCATGTGTCTGCGTGCGAGTGTGTGTGAGCGAAAGGGAGAGCAACGGAAATGATAGCATACTTTTCAGAGCGCCAACAAACGATATAAAGAAATCCGAAATACAAGCACAATTATTTAGCTCGGCCCTAGTCCATGGGCATTTGTGTTTGAAAGCACACACACACATACACACTCACACACACACACACTCACACACACGGAAAGAGGGTCAGAGAGGGTGGGAGAGAGGGAAGCTAGAGGCCCACACGTAAACACAAATGAAAATTGATTTAGTTAAGAGGATTTGCGTCAACAACAGCACAATAAGTGGGCAGTAACACGGGACATTTGGGCGTTGGGCGTTGGTGACTGTGATTGCGATTGTGACTGGGGACTGGGGACTGGGAACTGGGAACTGTGACTGGGTACTGTGACTGTGGATTGGGTGCCAGCTTGGCGTTCGGATGGGTTGGCCAAGTGTGGTTTGGGGCTAACTTTGGGTTAGGTAGTAATAGCACTTAACTCATATAAATGAGTGACTCTGTGTGTGCGAGTGTGTGTGTGTGTAAGCAGTTGACAAAGGCTGTTCCGCAGCAACCCAGGCAACCCAGGCAGCTGTAGTGTTGTGTGCAGCTCAAAAAGCAACAAGAGCACCAAGCCATTGGCCAAGCTGCTCAGCCAACAATGCGAATTATTGTTTGGGGCGCATTGCTTATGACACAGACCAACAGATAGGCAAACAAACAAACAAACAAGCAAATAGACAAACAGGCAGTCAGACAGACAGAGAAACACACAGACAGAGAGACAGTCATACTGTTAGCTGAGGCAACGACTGGCTTTGGTTCCTTCTTTCAACATGTTACTCATGCGCCATGTGGTAAAGCGTTATCTGCAATCTAGTTGCCGCTTCCAACTCGCGACTAACACACACACATGTGTGTGTGTGTGTGTTGTGGCCAGTGGTTTTCTATTTTAAGTGGTTGTATATGCCAGTTGAAAGCTTTTGTTGACATTCAAGTGCCCATTGACAGTGTAAAAGCGTGCAAAGCGTGTGAGCCTAGAGTATGGCCAAAGGATGCTGGGATGTCAGGAAGTTAGAATGCCAGGATGCCAGAGTGCCAGGCATGCTACGATGCTGAGCCAACGCTGTCACAAATGAGGCGTGGGCGTGGACAACATCCCAAAGTCAAACAATTCGTTGCCTTAAGTTCTCCTAGTGTTCATTGCCATAATCATGTCATGAGTGCATGTGTGTGTGTGTGCGTGTGTGTGCGTGTGTGTGTATGTGTGTGTGTATTTGTGCTTTACACGTGTTGGACGCTCCTAATTGCTCTTGTATGCGCCATTTGTTGTTGTTGTTGTTGCGGCTGTTGCTGCGGTTGCAAGCACCTCGCTCAGCGCTTAAGCCTCAACTTTGCCTTAAGTCCCATTGCCAGTCGACAGGAGGCAAGGATTGTGCCAGCCCAAGGTTATTTCGTAGCTTGAGTGCATGCAACACAGATACACTTAAAACAAAGAACAACAAAACTCTACATACAATTCGTCAGGTATATTTTAATAGTCAAGTTGAAGCTTCATCATTTTTGGGTGATTCTT